GGCTCCCTGCTTATGCAAATGAAGCCCGGGAAATTCAAATCCCGGGCTTCATTTGCAAGTGCGGTATGCCTACATTACCCCGCTAGTTCGAACTAGCGGGGTAGTGTAGACATACCCATGGGGAGTTAAAGGAAGGTGAGGAGGGGGCCTTCCAATGCTGATGGGATGCACCATCTAGACCTTGCTGCAGCTGTTTAAATATTTAATTAGTACATCGTGTTAACAGCATTTCAGGCCATTATGATGTCCCTAAGAAATGGGAGCTGCAGACTTCCTGACTAGCCTGCCAGAAGATGCGATAGTGCAGCTCCCATCAACACACCGGATATGTGACCGGTGGAGGCTAAGCCATGATGCTCACAGGCTGACTACCCAACTTGGAAAATGCATTGTGGGGTGAGAGGGGGGGAGACTTAATCAGCCTCATTTCAGCACAAAGGGGCATTTCTCCGCTTTGTTTTTCAACATTTAAACAAACCCTGTGACTGACTTTGAGGAGTGGCTCTGTAGCGAGCCCTGGCTGTGCAGAGACGGACGTCTCCCTCGTGAGAGGACCGAGCACAACGCCTTCGGCACTGAGCACACGTCCCCGTTGCTAAACCCCGTTAGCAGGTCACAATCACACACACTAAGCCGGCGTAATACACGTTCTCTGCACACACATTACTGGGAGAGCACAGTCCATGTCGGGTGTGATTCTGTAACAGCCGCTACAAGTCTACAGACAGACACTACAGGTGGACAGCAGCACCCAGAGCACAAACCCTGCCACTTCGGTTAGAGCAGTGGTCACCAACCAGGAGATCAGGATCTACTGGCAGATCTTGGAGCCTTTGACAAGTGATCCCAACAAGCTTGGCTGGGAGGCTGTCAAGTGCCAGCACTTCATCTGCCCCACCCACACTGCCCTGCTGCTCTTGCCGCCCCCCTACCCCCTTGCTTGCTATTCAGGGCACAGGAAGAAGAGGAAGGGAGTGCTGGTCTCAGGGTCCTCCTCCCTACCCTCCTCCATCTCCACAGAGCAGGGGGAGCAAGGATGGAGGGAGTTTACTGGCTGCTTTGGGGAGTGGTGCAAGACCAGGATAGGAGTGAGCCTGCCTTAGCCCCCTGCTCCACCACCCAGAAGCCAGCTGTGCCCAGCTGGAGCCTGATAAAAGTGAGTGAGAACGGGGCAGGGAAGGAGGATGGAGTTAGCAGGGGCGGGGCCTCAGAGAAGGGGCGGGAAAGAGGCGGGGCAAGGGTGTTTGGGTTTGAGGTAGACCCTAGATTGCACTTCATTTGAAAAAAAGTGATCACATGCTTAAAAAGGCTGGAGACCCCTGCGTTAGAGGAAGTTTCTACCTGAGTTGTGTGAAGCAACAGGCTTCTTACACTGGCCGGGGCCTGCGGCAGAACGAAGAGAATCCTACGCTACAGCCTGTGTGTTAGACAAAATAAGTGGCAGCCAGTTTAGGTGCAGATTTTTGGGTCTGTAAACAACATTGTCATGAATTAATGTATACACACGGTCACTGCAATCGAGGGGCTATTCCTGGTCAGGACTGAACGATCCGATTTACAGGTTTCACAGAGATCAGACCAAGACCTGGCGTGGGGAACAGATTCTCCCGTGCCTGCCTACAGCAGAGTTCATAGAGTTTCCACTGACACGTCAGAGACAACATGCTGGAGGAGATGGACCTCGGTTCTGATTCAGTCTGGCAATTCGAGGTTCCTGTGTTGGACTGCCCCCTGCTGGTTACCAATCTGGCTTGTGCTAGTGACTGACAATAGGGAAGTGAAACTAACTAGAAACACCCGCGAAACAGGCCAGTGTAGCTTTATCCTCCAGTCCAAGTGACATGTACCAGTGGGGAAAAGTGAAGAGGAACATAGCCAGAGCCAGACTCAATCAGACCAATCCAGGATCCTGTCTCTGGCGGTGCCCAGTTCAATTTGCTTCAGAAGAAACAGCAAGAAGCACTAAAAATGGGCAAGTCTGGACTAACCTGCCCAAAGGAGAAGTTTTCTCCTGACCTCCTCAGGGAGAGGCTGGCTCATAACCTGAAACATGAGAGTTTATTCCTTCCAGACATTTTTAACCTTGTACAAGGTGACTTGGGATGTTTTAGCCATATTAATGCCGAACACTTTTTGGAACCCTGAGCAATTAAGCCATCAGAGAGTAGTGGTGACACAGATAAAGACACAGATGGGGTGGGTGTTAGTCTGACAGTGTCTCTTGAAGGAGCTCGTCACAATACACACACACACACACACACACACACACCCTGATCAGCAAGAAAAAGAAGCGTTGACGGAAGACCAGGTGGTGGCAGCAACGAGTCATTTCCCATCTCAGCTGTTGCATCCCAGGCTGCGATTTAGGTGCAAGCTTGCACCAACCCCAACCACAGTTTGTATGGGAAGAGGCCAGAAGTGACTCAGAAATCACCCCGCTCACAGAGTCCCTGCCATCCTCAGGCCCTCACTTCTGTACCTTTTCGAAGCTTGCATGGTCAGAAGGGGAACTGATTGAGCTTTCCAAACTACTTCTGAATCCATCCCTAATATCCATCCCCAGGGAAGGGGGGGGGGGAGGAGCTGGACCCCCCCTGGGAACAGCTTCACTTTTCAAACGACACACATCCACACCCACCCACACAGGAGCGATAGACAGGGCTCTACAGGCAGGGTGGGGGCTGGTCTGCACTACACAACAGACTCTCATGGAAGGCGCTCAGCGCATGTTACAGCCATTCAGAAATGGTGTCTCCCAGTCTGCAGCCAGATGGAAAGAGCAGCACCCATTAGTGGAGATGCAAGAAGCCACATCCTCACATCCTCACATTATTACATTAAAATAGTGTCGTGCCAGGCTCTTAAGGAGATCCTGTCCTAATGGCACCCAGTGTCACCAGATAAAGACACAGATCTTAAAATGGCTAAAGTTTGACAGCATTCTGTGTGGCACAAAACTACATATCAATAGTTGGGGTGGTGACATCCTCAGTCCTTCATTGTCCCTACTTCCCTATTGTTTGTCTGTATGATCTTGGCCGGGTTCTTTAATTGCGTCTGTCTGCTGTGTAATTCATTTTTCTAGGTGTAAATCAATTACGGTGGCAGGAGATCACTGTTTGGAGAAGTATGGTACAATATGCTCAAGACTGGTTAATAAAATTTGAGTCAAGTAACTGGCTCAGGTCTAGCTAAGCAGGACGCAAGTTTCACTCTATAAACTGTGGTCCCCAAGGAAGTTCTTTGGGAACCAACTCCAGGACACAGCTCCAAGATCAAAACTGCCCGACCTCAACACTCTGCCAGCGACACCGGGCAGAAACTGAAGTCCCGCCCCCCAGATGGACCTGATCCTGACTGGCCAGCAAGAAAAGTTCATGTGTCTTATTGGGAATGGAGAGCACTGTATGCTGAGCGTGCGCATTCTGGTTTTTGGTGATTGTCAATAAACAGAGGTGAAGGAGGATATTATGGTGTGAGGCTCTCTCACTGGTAAAAGACCCCGCAAACCCACAGAGGGTAAGAGTCTGCCTGAGCCCTAGCAATGGGGAGGGGGCTTGAAGGGAGAAGGTTACACCTGAGCTCCACAAATGGGTCAAGTGTGAGAGTGCCAGAGGAGTTTATGCGGGTGTTGCAGGCAAACGAGGGTACTCACGCAGGGTCTGGACTCATTCAGGGTTAGAACGACTTCTGATTCGCTGAACGAGAGCTGTTCCTCACAAATGACCTGGAAAAACAAAACCCAGCCCAAGTCATTTCTGCATGGTGGCTGGACAGCTGGTCCTTGCTGCTGCAGACGGATCAGAGACATGCAACTGAACACACGCTAATCAGTTCTGAAGCCTGTGTTCGGCAGGTCAGACAGATGGATCATTTCTGGCCTTAGCATCCATGAATACAAATCAAGAGGCAGAGACGGGAAAGGCCTGGCAAGTCTCCAGAGCCCGTATCTCCCAACCCTCTCTATATGAAGTGTCCTGAAGAGCCTGGGTAATTCTATTCAGGAAGCTGTTGTCTGATCTCTGTTTGCTAGTGCATGTGCCAAAATGGGCCTAGGACCTACAGCAAGAAGTCAGAGGGTGAGATCAGGGTTTCACAAGCATGTTCCTGCCACCAAACACTTGGGCTGCGTCTAGACTGGCAAGTTTTTCTGCAAAAGCAGCTGCTTTTGTGGAAAAACTTGCCAGCTATCTACACTGGCCGCTTGAATTTCCACAAGAACACTGACGATCTCGTGTAAGATTGTCAGTGTTCTTGCGGAAATGCTATGCTGCTCCCGTTTGGACAAATGCTTGTGCAAATGCTTTTGTGCAAGAGGGCCATTGTAGACAACGCGGTATTGTTTTGCGCAAAAAAGCCCCAATCGCGAAAATGGCGATAGGGGCTTTCTTGTGCAAAACCGCGTCTAGATTGGCACGGACACTTTTCTGCAAAAAAGTGCTTTTGTGGAAAAGCATCCGTGCCAATCTAGACGCTCTTTTCCGCAAATGCTTTTAACGGAAAAACTTTTCCATTAAAAGCATTTGTGGAAAATCATGCCAGTCTAGACATAGCCTTGAAGTAAGACACTCTGTCACGTGAGGTACAGGAGTCAGCCATGATGCGTGCTCACCCATCGTGAAAACAACCCCCGACGGGCGTTTCACTCTCCCTGTTTCCTGTGCTATTGGTCCTCACTCCTGTGCCTGGCGCAGATCACATCCTTGACCCATCATCTAACTTCTGTTGCTGTTTGTAGCAGGCCCACTGGACAGAGTAAATGCAGACGTGGCCTCTGTCCAAAGCCGTGACAATCTAGTTCATCACCCAGGCATTCAGGGCTAGAGTCACACACGTGCCTCGGTGCCTAACCCCCCGATTTAGAAACCTACCTCCCAGTTTTGGCTCCACGTCAAGCCCAGATCCCACACCTCCCTCCATACCTACATGTTTGCTTTCAAAATGGTCACCACGCCTCTGGGACTGTGTATTCTAGTCGCCTGGACCTGTACCTCTCGCTTAACCAAGTCACTAACCGGGGAAAGAAAGGCGTCGGGCTGCCTACACCGCTGATTGTCATCAGCAGCAGTAGTAGGGCTTGCGTCTTTTCCACGGTCCAGCCACTAGAGGGAGACCTAACAGCACGTACTGAACCTGGCATATTCCAGTGACAAAGCTTGGCACTCTTATGAAGGCACGTTAGCCTTTTCTCCTGCTGGCTTGGGCATGACTAAGGAATGTCCATCAACATCCTGGCGTCCGGTACCTGATTGTTGAGTAGAGCATCCGAGGGCCTGGCTTTCCTGCCAGGAGTTGAAGCATGGTGGCTTGAGGATGTGCTGGTTGTCATGGGGACCACAGTGCTGGTTGTCATGGTTGAGGATAGGCTGCCATCAGCCTGTGGTACGCCACCAGCCTGTCGAGTGGTTGCAACCGTCGTTGCCCCAGGTGTGGTGGCACCCTCCTTAGTAGCCACAGGCGTCGCTGTCTCGTGTCCTGGCTGGGTGGCGTTTTCCTTGTCTGCAGGGACACCTGAGCTCTGCACTACACATCAAAACAGAAAGCAAATAAGACACTGATAAATGATAGCAAAGCCCCACAAATATGCAAGCAGCGGACAGGTACCATGAGGAGGCACTGCCAGTGAATGGCAGAGGGAAACTTTCACCTGAAACTTTACATGGCATTTACTGACAGCCCCCGTGAAACTTCAAGCTTTTTGTCTCAGAACTTCTTTAATGGTGTTTATTTATTTTATTAAAGGAAAGGGACAGGCAGGGAGGAGGGGATAGAAAATGCTAATATGTGAGGATTGCTATATTTCCTTGAGATGCAACCTCTCCCCACTCTGAGGCCTGAAGGCTGCCCTGTCCTATCTCAGGCTACATCCATGCTCTGGGGCTATGCTACCCTACGAGGTTTTTCCGGGATACCAGAACTCAGCTGCATCCAGGGAATGCGTCTGAGGAAGACAAGGCATGCTCTTTCAGAAGCCCTATCTTCCTCCTTCCATGAGGAAGAAGGGGTCTTCCGAAAGAGGAGGCTTTTCCGAAATTTGGCCCAGTGTCGACGGGCCAAATTTCACAAAAGCCTCTTCCGAAAAAACGATCAGAAAAAGGTACGCAAATTGCGGAGCACAATTTGTGGACCTTTTTCCAATAGATCATTGTACAGGCTACCCCCGACTTGCAACGTGATCAGTTCTTGGGATAGCGTCACAAGTCGGGGGCATCGTAACTCGAGCCTGTATTTACGACAGGAGTTGTGTGTGGTCGTAAATGTGTGGCCGAGAATGTATGTCGGGGGATTTTGGCCCCTTCCGCACTTACAGTTGTAAGGTTGTAAGTGAGGGTGGTCATAAATCCATAGTGTAGACAGCCTGGGGTATTAGCTAGGGACTGAGATGGGGGAAGGTCCCGGCTAATGCCTCCCTATGGATCCCACATATTGAAGGATCTTGCCAATGTCTCCATCCTTGGTCCCAGTCTCTTCTCCCTCTATAGCTTATCCCTGAGTCATTTAATCTGCAAACACAAATTCAACCACCTTCTCTAGGCTGAGGATTCATGGCTCCACCTCTCTACTCCAAATCTGTCTCCTTCTTTTCAAACTCAAAACTCAGCGTGTCTCTCTGACACCAGGGGGATGTCTAGCCTTCAACTCAAGCGCAACACGGCTGAGGGGTATGTCTACACTACAAAGTTAATTCCAACTAACAGCCGTTAGTTCGAATTAACTTTCATAGGGGCTACACATACAAACCGCTAGTTCGAATTTAAATCAAACTAGTGGAGCTCTTCATTCGAACTAGGTAAACATCATTCTACGAGGACTAACGCCTAGTTCGAATTAACTAGTTCGAATTAAGGGCTGTGTAGCCACTTAATTCGAACTAGTGGGAGGCTAGCCCTTCCCAGCTTGCCCTGGTGACCACTCGGGGCACCACCAGGGAAACTCATCTGCCCCCCTCCCGGCATTTGCGCAAGAGGGCTTTTGCCTGAACAGGAGCAGCACAGTATTTCCTCAAAAACACTGACAATCTTACATGAGATCGTCAGTGTTCTTGCAGAAATTCAAGTGGCCAGTGTAGACAGCTGGCAAGTTTTTCCACAAAAGCAGCTGCTTTTGCGGAAAAACTTGCCAGTCTAGACACAGCCAAGCTGTTTGTCTTCACTTTCCAGGCCCTGCAGAGCCTATTGTCACTCCACCTATCATCTCTACCATACATGTGAGCTTTGGAGTCCTGCCTCTGATTCACCCATGAAATTGGCCTCCATGGCTTACCTGCTACATTTTCAAACAAGCACGCACCAGAGCCCTACTAAGGACAAGCAAGAATTTCGGCCTCTATGCACCATTCAGTCCAGAGCCTCTACTGCCGAGGCTGCCAACAAGGAGGCCAATTAGCAGGGAGGCTTTTGAGAGAAAGACTCCGGCCCCGGCAACTGGACTGTGAACCCCCAGGTGAACTCATGATCAGCATGGCCAACCCAAGCGCGCTACGAACCCATCTCTTCACCTAAACTGGAAAGACTCTACAACCAGCCTTCCCCCAGCCTCCCAAACCCAGTCACAATCCTGCTCAGACCTGTGGTGCCTTCTGATGTTCTGGTCTTCTGAGGTGGAGACGTGGCTGAAGAACCACGGATGGAGGTCGTGGGTCTGGAGACGTCAGCAGCAGGGGTGGTCACGAAGGTGGAGGTGGCAGCAGACGCAGGGGCAGAACTAAGAGCGTTGAAGACCGTGGCAGCTGTCGGGAGGGGAGTAGCACTGCTGTGAGGGGTCACAGATCCCGTGGCGGTGCTGACCGCTGCCTTCGTGCCCTCAGGGGTAGCACTAGTTTTAGGGGATGGAGTGCTGGTGTCAGCTGATACTGGGGTGTTGGCAGGGGGCAAGGTGCTTGTACCAGAGTGAGGGGGGCTGACAGTGGGGGACAAGGTGCTAGCTTTGGGTGAGGTGCCAGCACCAGAGGTGGATGGCACATTGGTGCCAGGTGATGCAGGACTGATGGAGGGCGGCACGGTGCTGGAACCAGACAGGGTGGTGGTGGGAGATAGGGTTGTAGGAGTGATGCTGGTGTCAGCGGAGGATAAGGCACCAGCTTTGGTGGTGGTCAGGGTGCTGACGAGGGCTGTGGTAGGCACTGCTCTTGAGGTGGAAACAGGGGACTGGGTACTTAAGGTGGTAACAGCTTCTCCAGAATCACTGGTTTTGTCAGTAGCATCATCTCCTAAAAAACACAAAGGGCCAGATGGTTACAAAAGGTTTCCTGGCTTCCATCCAGCCCACCCCTCCACCTGCTTTCCTATGCACCATGTCCAGAGCCAACACTTGTATAAACAGCTAATGAGTGGGAGACTAGCCCCTGCCCACTGCTGAAAACACTCACTCAGCATTTTCCCTGTAGTCCCTATAGAACAAAGTCACTGGGTGGGAGTTTCAGAAAATGCCCCGAAGAGCAACGTGGCAGAGGGGAGACCTGTGGACAAGCTAAGGAAAAGGAGTGACGAAGCCAGTCTCTCATGGGAATAAGTGTGGTAAATTGCACAGAACGTGGGCGAGAGGCGCACAGGTGGCGGGACGGGAAGAGTTTGGAGGAAGCACCAGGAAGTCGCTCTGTGTGCACATGGCTGGAATGCTGTGCAGACTCTGCATCTCTCTAAATGGTTCTCTTATTGAAGAGCCTGTTTAATTTTACCAGCGCCAAATCCTTTCATGGTACCACCTAGACTCTGGTACATGAAAAAACAGGTAAGAGGCCAATGGAGGAGCATGTGAGACTTGCCCGATACCAAGCAGGATCCTTCTCTCACCCTCTCACATCACCTCCAACCCAAAATTCAAAAATACCCAGCTGAAGATTAATTCTGTCAGAGGATCTGTGGCAGGGGGCAGCTGCAAGACAGCCCAAAAATGACAAACCCCAGTTCAGAGGCGTGGGCAAAAGAATAACACTAACATTGATTTAAAGTTAAAAAAAACCCACGACTAAGAAACAAACTCAGAGTTTGTTTAATAGACTTTCACCAAAGGCAGGTTCCTGCAGGTGACCTGTTTTCCGCTCCCCACACGGGCGCTGGAACAATTTGCACACTGCGGGTAGGCTTGCCAGATAGTTTCAACAAAAATACCGGACACACTTGACATGACATCACAATCGACAATCCATCTGATTTAGAAAATACCGTATGTTTATAGTTTCTCGTTTATATTTTCTCAATTTGTTTCCCGAACAGAAAGCTCAAATACTGGACTGTCTGGTTCAAAACCGGACACCTGGCAACCCTACCAGTGTGGGTGCTGAGAACCATTGAGCCAAACTGTAAATCCTGTTTATAATGGAAACCACGTCACTCAGGGGATGCGGAAGTGCCACCAGTACGCCTAGTTCCAGCACCGTTGCTTCCAGCTGCCTGGTTTAGGGTGTGTCTACACTTTGGAGCTGGGGGTGCGATTCCCAGCTAACGTAGGCATACGCACACTGAAAGCGCAGTAAAGCCGCAGTGGCGTGAGGTGCGGGCCAATTGAATAGAGGGTGGCTAGGCTTGCTTATGCTGTCATGGATACCCCGTGTTTCTAGCCTGCTAGCGAGGAATCGCACCCCCAGCTCTAAACACAGACACACCCTCACAGACGTTCCCCCTGCTGGAAGCCAGGGGGCGTTCCATGGCGAGAAAGGAAATCCCGCCCGTAGCTCTCTACTTGATGGACAGCCCTCTTAGCCAATTGGCTTTACACACAGATTCATAGCCAGGCAGTTTGGGTCTCACTAAAAACCTTCCTGCCTGCAAAAGCCCCAGGCTCTAAGTCATCAGTCCTGCTCACGCTCACTATTTTAAATGTAAAGCGGCCAAATCTGGATTGTCGGCAGGTGGGATTGAACCTAGGGCCTTAAACCATGTGCCTCTATTGCAGGGGTGGGCAAGAGGCTGCCAGCAGGCCAGATCCAGCTGGCCAAGCCACCGGATCTGGCCCGTGGCTGCCCCGCCGGAACCCTTAGGCAGAGAACAGCTCACACTTTAACAAGCCAGCTGTTCTCCTTTCCAGCCAGCTGGGGAGGGAGGAGGGAGATGTTTCATACTGTACCTGCCCCCCAGCAAAATCTCTTAGCTCCGATTGGCCAATCTCTCCGTTTCTGGCCAACAGGAGCTGAGAATTTTTGTCAGAAGTCGTGTCTTCCCCATAGGGTACTTACGCAGCAAGCTGAAATAATTTTTGAACCATTAATAATTATATTTGACTATTAATGGAGGACAGGCAAGGTCCTAGACAGGGGCAGTGTAGCAAGCCTTGTCCCTTCCTCCTCTATCCCATCCCCCTTCTCCTCCCTCTCATGCCCAATGCGGAGCCATGTGGAGCAGTGAGCAGCCTGCAGCAGTCTGCCTCAGGTTTCTGCTGGTAAGCGCCTCCTAGCTAGAGCCTGCCCCATTCTTCCCTTCCCCAACCCTCTGCCCCCTCCACAAACTCTCTGCCCCCTCCTGCATCCATACCCCCTCCCAGATCTGGCATCCCAGTCTCTTGCCCCAGATCACAATCCCCTCCTACCCTAGGTCACATCCCCAAATCCTGCAGCCCAGTCTCCTGCCCTAAGTCCCTACTACCTCCTTCACCCAAACTTCCTCCCCGATCCCATTCTTCCTCCTGCACCCCAATCCCTTCCCCCAAGCTCCTTTCTGCACCCAACCTCCAGACCAGACCCTACACCTCCTGGAAAAGTGGGGCTCATGGCCACTTTCCAAAATCTTGGAGTGGCCCCTCCATCAAAAATTATTGCCCACCCTGATCTATAGCATGAGCTAAGGCTGCGGAGACTTCAGGTGCCCTTCTCAGCGGTCTCAGGGCCTGTGGATTATACTAGTATTAGGGCCTGGATTGAATTCCTAGCTCAGCCTGCTGAGTGTCCTTGGGAAAGTCACGTCACCTCTACGTGCCACCTCTGGTCCCCCTCCCCGCTTTCTGTCTCTCTTTCAGGGCTGGGCCACCATGCGACTGTGAAGCTCCTCGCACAGTGGGGTTCTGATCTCCCTTGGGAGACCCTAGGTAACGCCACATAATAATAATATGGGGGGATCGGATTCCCCCCAAAGTGGGGGTTGCTGACCTGGCCAGAGCCAATGAGCTATCCACCTGGATCCCAAACAGCTGTGTCATTGTCACCTCCAGCTGCAGCGATTTCATAACACCCCCCTCCCCCCCTGGCAAGCTCCTCCACAAAGGGAGCTTCTGTTAATTAATTCCCGGCCACAAAAATCTGCAACTTGTGATTTTTCCTGGCTGGGTGAGAGCTGCAATTCTAACTCCCCCTGCCCATCTACCGTAGCCAGGCTCCCTCGGACAGGACAGCAGGCAGAAGAGGGACATAAGCAGTGGAATTCCCTGTTCTTTTTGTTGCAGCTGTTACCCAAGGGTATAACAGAGACAGAGAGAAAGGGGACCGAGATCTCCCACCCACCTGGAGCCCCTGGCGTGAGTGATCGATCTGTGAGCAACCCGTAAAGTTGGGCCATTATTTCCCGAGGAGTGTGGGGAAGCACTGGGATGGGTTCCCTAGTGAGAGGGTGGAACCTCCATCCCTAGAGGTTTTTAAGCCCTGGCTTGACCAAGCCCTGGCTGGGATGATTGAGTTGGGGTTGGTCCTGCTTTGGGCAGGGGGTTGGACTCGATGACTCCTGAGGTCTCTTCCAGCCCTGTGATTCTGTGATTCTTTGACCATCAGACCATTGTTTCACCCTGTAATGCAGGATGGTGAGGACCCTGGGGAAGCCCCTGAGCTCCCAAAACTGATTAGAAGATGGGGGGGTGTTTTGAAACCTCTGGTGGAGCTCAACTCGTCCCTGGCATCTGCCCCACTCACCCCACCCGTGTGTAAGGACACCTTATCTCTGGGCTTCAAGGCAGATTCTTCCAAAGAGCAAGTTTTGGTGGCCGGAATGGAGCAGGTGCCCTAAGTATGCTGTTCCCTATGCTTCCGAGGGAGAGGAAGTCCAGGAGGTCTTCAAACCCATCTCTCCTCCTGCCTCAGTTTACACACACCGCTGCGCGCAGGGGGTTGCTCCACCCCCACGGGGACTGCTGTGGCCTGGGGCGCTACGGGGTGCAGCAGGGGCTGCTCTGGCAACTCCCCTACTCATGCCCCCTTTAATCGGTTCACCGGGTAAACGTTTAACCGATGAACAAATCACATGGGATTTTACACCCTAATAATAATCAGCCCCAACTGCCTTTACTTCCCTTGTCGCCTCCCATCTATTGGAGAAACTTGTGTCCATCATGGCCCGCAGGAGCAAGCCAGCTCCCATGGCCGTTAATTCACTATCATGCGATCATGTTCGACAGACCATCCACATTGCTGTGGGATGCACCTTTCTGCAGCCGCACTCTTCCAAGTGTCCCTCCCCTGCCTCCTTCCAGAGTAACAAGAACAGGATCTGACAGAGAAGGGGAACAAATACGTTGATTCGATTGGCCCTCACCCTGTCAGAGGTCACATTCGCCCAAGGATGCTGAGCTCATCAAAAGTTAAGAGAAAGAATCGTTTTTTTTGCGGAAGAGCTAAATTATTCTCATCATCTCCCTCGGGAAAGACTCTTTCTGACCGTTGGAGGAACGTGCCTCTGTGGTTTCATCTAGGGTCACCCTCCCCTGACCCTGGTTTTGGGAAGGTGGAAAATTATCTGCCTCTCCCCATTCTGAGGTGGTAACATCAGGGTGACGTTTGATACACCGCATTAACTGGACTTTTATCTCTTGTATCATGCCAGGGGAAACTAAGGCAATGGTTCCCAACTGCCAGGCTGCAGACTGGTGCCTGTCCGTGAACCGCTGGCTGCCGGGCCGTGGCCCTGACCCTGGTTTTGGGAAGGTGGAAAATTATCTGCCTCTCCCCATTCTGAGGTGGTAACATCAGGGTGACGTTTGATACACCGCATTAACTGGACTTTTATCTCTTGTATCATGCCAGGGGAAACTAAGGCAATGGTTCCCAACTGCCAGGCTGCAGACTGGTGCCTGTCCGTGAACCGCTGGCTGCCGGGCCGTGGCG